TTGGGGATATTTGAATTTTATACTTGGTTTTGTTATGAGTTTTGTTTGAAAACAATGGTTTCCTTGATTTGAAAATGAAATTTTTATCATGATTCGTGGGATGTTACACACAGTGCATCTCGTTCTTGCTCTTGGTGTCCCTTGGGGATGGAACCTATGCCAAATCGATGTCAGTAATGCTTTCCTTCATGGTTTTTTTGATGAGGAATTTTATATGCAACAACCCCGGGGTTTGAGAATCCTCTACGACCACATCATGTGTGCAAATTATAAAACATGATTTATGGGCTAAAACAATAACCACGTGCATGGTTTTCCAAACTAAGTAAGAAATTACATAAGCTTTGTTTTCAATCGTCCAAAGCTGAAACATATTTGTTTTTATTTTGTTATGCAGACATTACTATCTATGTGATTGTTTATGTAGATGACATTGTCATGGTTGGTTCTTCACAACAAGTTGTTGATCAGTTGATTCATAATTTGTCTGTTTCATTTCCAATAAAGGATCTTGAAAAAATGAAACCCTTTTTGGGAATTGAAGTCGCTCACAATTCAGGGGAATAACCTTGTTGCAACACAAATATGATTTTGATCTCCTTCGTCGTGTTCACATGGAGAATTGTAAGAGCGTTTCAACTCCCATGTCAGTTACAGATAAACTTACCCGTGATTATGGAAAAGCTCTCAGTGATGATGATACCTGCAGATACAGAAGCATGGTTTGTGGTTTACAATATCTTACACTAACACGACCAGATATCTTCTTTGCGGTCAACAAGGTTTGCCAATATATTTCAAGACCTACTGACATTCATTGGGAAGCAGTCAAACATATCTTGAGATATATAAAAGGCACGATAACTACTTGGATCCACATCAGAAAATCGATTTCTAGATTGTTAAGTATATTCACAGATGCAGAGATGCGGACTGAGCATGATGTTTGGATAATTGCAGATCTACTGGTGGGTTTGCAGTGTTTCTAGGACCAAATATGATTTCATAGAGGTCGCATAAGCAACCTACTGTGTCTCGATCAAGCATAGGGGTTGAATACAAAACTTTAGCTAATGGTACAGCTTAAGCAATATGGGTACTATCTATTCTCAAGGAATTAGGTGTGTGTTTGCCTCGCCCGCCGGTACTATGGTGTGATAACTTGGGAGCCACTTACTTGACAACTAATCCGATATTTCATGCTCAAACTAATCACATAGAAGTAGATTTTCATTTTGTTAGAGAAAGGGTAGCCATGGGTGCTCTTGATGTTCGATTTATAGCCTCTAATGATCAGGTAGCAGACGGGTTCACTAAGCCAGCAACTTGTAACATGCTTCACCGTCTAAGATACAATTTAAACATTGTTCCGGTTAAGATTGAGGGAGAATGTAAAACGAAGGATAGAAGATAATGTAGAATAGTTTGAATTATAAGTTTGTTATATAGATAATAACAATAGAATGTAACCTTGTCATGTAACGATTGTATATATATGATAATGATACCTACGGGTTTTGTGTGCCAAATATTTTGTTTAACTGTCAAGCCTCAAGCTTTACAATTCGTGATGAGTCATGTCGTTTGTAAGGCCTGACGGTCAAAGGCGGCAATTTTGTATTATTTGTATATGAATTTATTACTATTATTCATAAATGTATACATATATGACTTAAAACGACATTTTGTTAAAGTTTGACATCAAGTACAAGCCTTGGAGTCATGTCGCGCCATGACGAACTTTTTAGAACCTTTGATAATAGTAATATGTTGTTTGTTTATCATATTTTGGGAATTTGTTAGTAACATTTTCAATATATTATTACTAAGTAAAAACATGTAATGGTTCTAAGGTATGAAATTTACAAGATGATCAACTTTAATTTTGAATTTAACCGTAGATAATATAGTTAATAAAATTATATAAAAATATTTTAAAGCTTCAATTTTAACTTTCACACAAGGTCTCTGAAATGTGAAATATCATCTGCTATTGAATGGGAGGAGGAGGTAGTAGTTGTAGTGTTGGATATAATTTTCTGAACATCAAAATGAATGATATTATTAAATGTACAAAAGCTAGCAAGAAGATAGGATTAGATTTGGCTTATTGTTTGTTAATTAATAATGATATTTTTTTAACGGCAAATCTAATCTACTCCTAAACTACTCCTTAATCCATCTATGTCTCAGACGATACTTGAACCCTCGACCTCAAGGGAGAAGGAGCATCACCTGATACAACTGAGCTAAAAACTCTTTGGTAATAATGATATTATTAAAGATGTGACTTTTAATGTTTGATATGATTAGATTTGGTTTATTTGATTGGCAATGGAGTTTTCGTTATCAGTTTAGCAATTTTAATTAGATAAATAAATAATTAGTGAACGTGAGTTGGTTAACTTATGTATATTATGTTGAATGACACTTCCATTGAGGACATATGTTAATATTTGTTTTCGAATAGTTTGGCATTTAAAGTCACGATTTATCACCATCGAAGAAAGGTGGGGATGTGGGATTGATGTTATTATATGGTGATTATCTTTTAATCATTTAGCTAATTAGTCAGAAAGGTTAAATGTAATCAATAATACTGTAATTTCATTTATTTTTGTATTATAAAATTTTATTTCTATTTCTTTCTATTACAACATTATAACATTGTAAATGACAGACTTCCCGTGAACCATACCCTATGCTAGGTATCGTATTACAAAAAAAAAAATGAAGAAAAATCAAACTAGCCCCGCAACGACACCACTATTAAGGCTTCTTTCTCTTAGTGCACTCTAACATATTTACTAAGGTACATGACAAAAATGCATCAAAAGGTTGTAGCTAAGGATTAGTTAGTCATTATTAATTTATTATCACATTCTAGCAATCAACACAACATACATAAGAATCTAGATAGGGTGTAGATTTCCTAACATTAAAATGTACATTGATAATTGTTTTGTTAGAGTTTTTAGTTTTTTAACGATGATACCAAATTGCACAAAAGTCATTATATTTTGGATCTTAGTTTCCTTAATCTAAAATATTTTCCCATCATGTCATTTCTTTCAAAGGGTAGAAGATTGAGAACCATTCTCTCTCTCTCTCTCTCTCTCTCTCTCTCTCTCTCTCTCTCTCTCTCTCTCTCTCTCTCTCTCTCTCTCTCTCTCTCTCTCTCTCTCTCTCTCTCTCTCTCTCTCTCTCTCTCTCTCTCTCTCTCTCTCTCTCTCTCTCTCTCTCTGTGTGTGTGTGTGTGTGTGTGTGCATGTCCTTCTCTTCATCACAAAACGGTTGATCAATTGTAGGAAGTAGGTCACTAGAATCACCCCATAATATTCAAAAATGTTGATTTACTTATGACACAGTAACATGTTGATCTGGAATAAATAAAATAATAAATTAATTATTCAACTAAACCCATAATTATATGCAAGCTAATAACAACGTTTTAAACATGGAAAATAGAGAAGAATTGAAGTGAATGATTTAATTAAGGTAAATTATTACAACAATTCTTCCATTTCAGAGGGTATGCTCGACACTTAACCAAAGTTTTAAGGTAAATGACTAAAATACCCTTATCTAGGTATCTTATTATACAAAATCAAACAAAGTCAAACTTCTCGCCACCCCCCATAAGGACACCACTACTAAGACTTTTTTCCTACTGTACTTTAAATGACTTAGTAATATACATGATTAAAATACCCTCATCGTTTGAACTTATTTTTTTATTTATATACAAAGGGACAAACCATGGTTCGAGCTCATGTTCATGTGAATCAAGAAAAGTTTTGGGTATGGGGAAATCATGATGCATGAAAGGGTTGTACATAAGGACTAGTTATCCATTATCATCACAATATAACAATCAACACAATACACATAAGAAGGCCATATACATGTATATTGTCTAACATTAAAAACATAAGGACTAGTTATCCATTATCATCACAATATAACAATCAACACAATACACATAAGAAGGCCATATACATGTATATTGTCTAACATTAAAAAGTACACCGATGATTTGTTTTTTTGGAATTGTCATTATTTTTATGATGAGACTAAATTGAACAAAAGTCATTAAATTTTGGATATCACAAAGTCCCTATATTTTAATTGTTTTGTCGATTTTGACACCCTCAATATGATGTCAACAAATAGTGACACATCAGCATGCCACTTCATAAAAAGAGTGTCATGTTAGCAATCCCGCGTCAATTGGAAATCGGGTGACCAAGTAAGTGGTAAAGATTGAAACAAAATGGAAAAATTACTATTTTAATTGAAACAAAAAACGTAGTGTAAAAATCGAAAAAAATAAAATAAAAACATAATAACTTTTATGCAATTTACTATTTATTTTTTATGGAGATAAAGCAATATTTTCCAAATAGTGAATCCAACATCATTGAAGACAGTAGCAACAAGAATTGAATTTGGATTAGTGGAAGGTCCAAGTAGAAAGGACTTGGAACATATAGGTAAAATACATGCACGATACAATGGCCCAAACTATAGACTATACACAATGGGCCTAATACAAACAAAATACAGTAAATACAATCGAAATATAATGCTATGCTAACAACTGGAAGTCAATTCATCAGATCAGACATGACATGATGAAAGTGATTGAATTTGAAGAGGGTTAAAGAAAGGATCAACAAGAATTACGAATATGATACCATGTAGGGAATCCAGATGAGAGAAAGATGAAAGAAAGATCTCATTGATTGAAAGAAAACGTACATGAGAAATACAGGCTAGTAAAATACATACACAAGATCTAACCAACTATACACAAAGCTCATTACTAGCATAACTAACTCTAACAACCCTTATAACGACTTCCTAAAGAACCACGCAACAGAAATGAATACTTAAGCAAAAAACTTTTGCTTCCATTTATCACAACACAACGTACAAAGAAAATAGTACAGAATTGTTACTAGATATCTATAACTAGTCATGGTAGCATCCATTGAAGCTCAACTTTGATTCTCTTGATCTGGAGGGAAGACAAGAAGCTTAAAATTCTTTTGAAGCAGACGTGCAGATGCAACAGCAGAACGACAAATCCAAGACAACTCCACAACCTGAAGTGTCGACATGTCCCCTAGACCCGAAGGCATGGCCTCAAGCTGTTCACAGTGCTTCAAACTAAGTCGTTGAAGTTGAGGAAACTGATTGCCAGCTGCCTCCCAATGCACCAAATCCGTCTTCCCAATTTGAAGAACTCTTAGCTGAATAAAACTCCCATCAGGTGTCACCCAACGTTCACCCATGAATGAATTGTCACCTAACTTCAGAACCTCCAAACCTGGCAACTTCCCAAGAACTGACATGTGTTCCCAATCGAGCATCGTGTCAGAAAGAGTCAGTTTCTTAAGTTTTGGTGGGAATTTATACCATTCAGGAAGGGCCCGCAGTTTACCATCTAATGGTGGAGTAGGGTATGTATCATTCGACAATTTCAAATTCTCAAGGTGAGTTAGCCTCGTAATGTTATCAAACTTACAACTACCCTTTTTCTCTTCCAAAAGCAAGAGCAATTTCCCACGAATGCCTAGTTTTTGAAGATTAGGCGTCCGAGTTAAGATCACATCCGTACAACTACTTGGCGACACTTTTGACATGGTTATTAGGTTTTCGTTAACCAAAGGATCTGTAACAGTCTTTCGTGATGATTTTGAAGATGGAGTGGGCAAATCACTAGCTGCACTTGTGTAAACATGTCGCAACTGCAATAATTTCCAAAGATCGGCTTGAACTGTAATGTTACGAGAGGATGTTTCTACAACAAGCGTTTGAAGGTTCCAGAGGTTAGAGATGGCTGAAGGAAGAACCTTGAAATTTCCTACTAATGCAACGTATCTCAAATGAACGAGTTGGATGTTAGGGAAACGAGGGAAATTGATAGAGCGAACATCTAACACTCTAAGCAATTTAAAGCTCCCTGGAAAGTATGTTATGAGATCGTTGGGTAAAGCCTTTTCTTCTTTTGAGTAACATAAGAAAGAGCGAACATGTGAAGCGTCAGGCTTTGAAGAAATGTAATCAATAACTCGAGAATGGACACAAAGACGACGAAAGACGTTTGGATCAATAGATACGTAAGAAGATGGTTCTAAACCCTTGATGTCCTTGAAGAAGTTTTCTTCTTCGGCTTGTCTGATACACATGTCATGCAACATATCATGGATTCGACATGTTTTCATTCCACCATCGGCCTTTCTCTTTTCAACCAAAACCAGGTTCCTGTCCACAAGATCCTGTAAGTTCTCTTCTGCCATTTCTTCTGGGCTTGCATCACCAATTCGCTGAATAAACCCCTCAGCAACCCAAATATGGATCAGTTTCCAAACGGGTATCTCGAAATCCTCAGGGAACACACCAAAGTAGAGGAAACAAGCTTTTAAATCGTAAGGTAAATGGTTATAACTTAATGCTAATACATCCATACATTGCTCTGATTCCATGGCTACATAAGTACTCACCTTCTCCTTTACTTTCTCCCACCACCCACGTGTTTTATCTTTCTTTCGAAGGATTCCTGCAATCACCACAAGTGCAAGAGGTAATCCGTAGCATTTTTTTGCAATTTGCTTCCCTAGAATCTCCAGTTCACTTGAGCAACGGGATCCTTTAGGGAAGACCTTCTTCTCCAAAAGCTCCCAACTTTCATCATCAGTCAAGAACCGAAGCTGATAAGGAGGGAGATTTGTGTTCGCGTGTAGGGCTACATCCTTGTTTCGACTGGTCAACAAGATTCTACTCCCGTTCTTGGTGTTGGGAAACACCATTTTTAGATCATTCCATGCCGTTTTGGTCCAGACGTCATCTAAAACGATTAAGTACCTCCCATCTGTCAATTGCCTACGGAGTTCATCAGCTATGGTGTCAACGTTCCACTGTGATGTATCTTTGTTTTCTCGAGTAACATCATACAAGATTTTTGAAAACACTTCCCTCCTACTATACACTTGAGAAACATAAACCCAAGATCGAATGAAAAACTCATATTGAATCGCTGAGTCATTAAAGACTTTCTTAACAAGAGTTGTTTTACCTAAACCGCCCATACCCACGACGGAGATAACCTCCAGCTCCTCTGTCTCCGCCTTGAGCCACCCGATGACTTTTTCCGCTTCTTTTTCGAAACCCACAACGTTTTCCTCCTCCACAGATGGAGGAGACCTGGTAAAAGACTCTGTTTTCCTGAAAACCTCATTTGCGAACAATTTATTATCGTAGATCTCCTTCACGCGCCGCCGTATATCTTCAATCTCTTTTCCAACAGTTCTTAGTTTCAGGGGGTAGTCTGTGAAGTGAATTGCTCTTTCGAAACTGCTTCGAGATTTCTGGATCGATGCGTGGAAGACGTACATATCCACAATGTCTTCAGCTTTATAGACTTCGATTCTGATGCGTCTAACGAGTTCTTTGACGATGGCGTGCTTGCTCCGGCTCTCGGTTGTTTCCTTGACGAAAGCTGCAAGTAGACGGAGGTCGTTGCACAGAGAGTCAACTTGGTCTTTGACGCTTGAGATCAAATTGGCGTTGTAGACTAATAGTTGTTTCAGATTACCCAGCAGGAAATTCCACAGCCGCATCCGCCATTGAAATCTCGAAAGTATAAACTTCAGGGAGAAAGAAGATTGAAATCTCGAAAGTATTAACTTCAGGTAAAAGAAGATTGAGAGCTCGAATTGTTTCGGCTGATAAATTGTTGAATTACTTGGAAGAAATGTGGAAGCATTCCCCGAAACTGCAGTTGACCGTTGACTCTGGTTATAGTCGTCCTAATGGTTCCTCCTAAATTTTGTGAAAAATAATTGTTACCTTCTCCGATTCAATTTCATTTTTTATTTTTTTTCCGATTCTTTTCAAACCCTTTCACATTTTAGGGTCCGTTTGATAGTTGCTGTCTGGGAAAGTGCTGTATGAGAAAGTGCTGTCTGGGAAAGTTTTCTGACTGGTAAAGAAACAATGCTGTTTGATTGTACATATGACTGACTGTGCTGAATGATGAAAAATGACCATATTATCCTGTTGTTCTATTCTGTGATGGATGAAGTTGCTGAATGATTATAAAAACATATAAATTATCATACAAAATCAAAATTACACAATAATCATTTAAAAATCCGAATACAAATTGTCTTACAAAGTAATTAAACATAAATCAATCAAAATCCAAATAGAAACATACTGAAATTGAAAATAACATACTAATTTGCATACATCTCTAAAGTAAACCGGGTGAAAGTAGTTGATTAGCAATCTGCTCACGCAAAGTAGCCATGTATTCAACGGCTTCTGAACCCCATTTTATGTCTTTTGTGTTTTCGTCTTCAATTCCTCCACCGTGCACATCAAGATTAACCATAACGTTCTCTTCAAAATTTTCAAATAACTCATCTTGGATATTGTATTTCCTTATAAAATTATGGACCGCGACACAAGCAATGACGATGTCTCTTTGTATCGGAAAAGGATAAGGAGCCATTTGTTTTAAGATTGGGAATCTCGCCTTCAATACACCATAAGCACGCTCAATAACATTTCTAAGTTGTGCATGAGCAAGATTGAATCTTTCTTCTTTAGTTAAAGGTCGACGTCCTCGAAAATCGGCTAACCAATACCTAGTGCCACGGTACGGAGCTATGGACCCACGAGTGTTGGTATATGCGGCATCACAAATATAATATGTATCTGTAGGCGAGTGACATTTATTATATAAAGAATATAGATAATAAAACTTATATAAAGAATATAAATAAACTTATATAAATATTAGAAACCTGGTGGAGGGAATGGAAATCCGGAAGACGGATTGAATGCAACTTCTTTCAAAACTCTTGAATCATGTGCTATGCCTTCCCATCCAGCCCATACAAAGGTGAATATCATATCAAAATCACAAATTCCTAATACATTTTGATAACATTCACCTTTTCCTCTTCCCCTATACCTCGTTTGTTGATCAACGGGCACAACTGCATGTACAAGAGTTCCATCTAGTGCACCTATTGCTCCGGAAAATATAGCTTTTAACCGTCTTTGTCGTTCTGAGGCATGTCTTGTTGGATTAGGATTTGTTGGTACTATAATTTCTTTTGCAAAACACATCATTGCATTTAAGACCTCATGAAAACATTGATGAATGGTTTGTGTGGAGTGATGAAATCTTCCTTTAACCGCTCGAAAACATTCATTATGTCCTATAACATGTAAAAACATAGCCATCTTCTCTTCAATGCTTATCGTTCTACTAGCTTGCAACCAACTTCTTTGCGTAAAATGATTGCATAATAATACAAATGCCTCTTGTGTAAGACGCATCATATCGTAACATTCGATAGGGTCCCCGTGTATCAAATCTTGCGTATACGCATAATCTCTCGAATCGTTATCTCTTATTCTATGAATTTTTTTAGCCTTGGCCGGTTTAACCTCAACCAATACAAGACAAGTAAAAGAAAAACTAAAGCTTCACCATTAGAAATCATACTTGACCTGTAAAACAATTACATATAACATGTCAAATATAAAATAAACAACCAAAATATTTATAACATGACAAGTATAAAGTAAATAACAAAAAAATATTTATCTAATAACACAAAAGTGATGCATCAAAAATTATCCAATAAAAAAACTCATGCATATAAAATTCATCAAACGTAACATAACAAAAGTCATAGAAAAAGCCATCAAACCTAACATCCAAAAGTCATGCAAAAAAGAAATAGTAAAAGTAATCAAATGTAACATCTAAAAAGTCATCAAAGGTAACCAAACTTCATTCCTGCACTCCTCACCCACGACTCACAAGTAGTAGGCGTAAGTCGTAACCAAACTTTCCTAATATCGGCACTTTCAGCAAATAACAAAAGAGCGGTCTTGTGTCTTTCATCTTCTTCTCCCCATCCCATTTTTGCCAATTTCTCCATACATGCATCTATGTCCTTATCCATTTCACTTCTTTGGTTTTGTTCCACAAGCGTCCTTGCAAACTTGATGATTTCCTCCTCAACTTCTAGTACCCTTGCGTTTCTCTTGTTTCCACCAGCTCTTTTGTTTCCACCCACTCTCCTATTTTTCGAATGTCCAGAGGATTCTTCACTTGCAGCTACGTGTTGGGTTGAGTCGGGAGTTTCCGTTTGGGTGCATTGAACCTCATCAAAGTCATGCTCAGTGTATTCAGGAGTAGGACGGGGGAGTGTAGAAGATGACCCCCAACTATCAAAGCCGGTAGAGGTTGAACCTTCAAATAATTGTGTGCACAGATCAGGGAAAAGGAGGGGCACAGTTTTCAAAGCTCCTACAATCTTGTTCAACTGTTTAACATTTTGAAATTATCAAACCATTAAAAGAAAATAATCATATTTCTACTATTTTGTTTTATAATTAGACGAATATATATTACCTTCGTCTCCGTCTCCCATTGTTCGTCAGTCAAATTAAATTTATTTGTTAGAGGATCATATATATTTCCGGTTTTGCTTTTAAGTTTCACCCAAGCTTGATACTTTCCTTTGTAGTAGTCGTAGTGGTTTCTCATCTGTTTTTGGTCAACGACTAAACCGTGTTCCTTTAATAATTTTTCGGCTACAGTTTTCCATGAATTTGGTTTTAGGGCACTACCCTCACGACCATATGTGGTTACTTCTTGGATACAAGCATAAAGAAAAGTTTTGTCTAAACTTTGGTCCCAAATGATTCTAGATTTTCTTTATGACATGTCTATAATAAAAAATAGCAATAACTATGAAATTTCAGCATATATATTCAAAAAAAACAGCATGTATATACACAATTCAGCATATATATTCAAAAAAAAACAGCATGTATATACACAATCAACATATATATTCAAAAAAACAGCATGTATATACACAATTCAGCATATATATGAAATTCAACATGTATATTAAAAAAAACAGCATATATATACACAAATCAGCAAGTATTTTCAAAAAGCAAAAAACAAAAAACAAAATCAACATGTATATACACAAATCAGCATGTATTTTCAGCATCTATGTAAAAAATACATCATATATCGGCAGAAAAAAAAACAAAAAACAACATGTTTCAACATTTTTGTTCATCTTTCCGAATCAACACGTATTTTCTTCACCTATGCACGAAAATCAAAAGAGAAAAGAAAACAAGATGAAAAACATGAAACAAATTCTGATTTTGATACAAAAAGATGAACAAAAATCAGATTTCTAACATACAACTGAAAGAGATGAAGCATAAAAATCAGAAGAAAAAAAACATAACACAAATGAAACATACAATCGAAATACAATCAAAAGAAATCATAATTTCTGATTTTAATCCCCAAAAGAAATCGACAAGAAATCGGCAGAAAAAAAGGAAGAAATTACCTGTGGGAGGAGCTGCAGGGCGGAGCCGGTGGCAATGGAGGCTGCTTGGCGGGGGGAGGCTGACCGGAGAAGACGAGTGATGAAAATCGACGAAGGGAAGACGATGATGACGGATGGAGGCGACGCAGGGAAAGGGAATACGCTTCTTTTTTTTGCTAGGGCATAATTGTCCAACGCCTTTTCTTTTCCATACAGACTTGGGTTTATTGCTTTGTGGGAAAGACGCATCTTAGCAAGAAAGATGATTTTTTTGGTCCAAATCAAACGGTCTTTCCGGCCCATTCAGCTGGAAAGATCTTTATGAGTCGGGAAAGACGTTTATCAAACGGGACCTTATTGGATATCAATAATATTTTAACGGCAGTTTGACAATCTATGTAAAAAGAAATTATAAATGATATAATCTTATTTATTTATTATTATTATAATAAAAAAATTATAAATTATATGTTTGTTAAAACCAAATTAATATAAACTATGTGATTGACAATCTATGTAAGTTGGAAGATTGAAATATACTAGGAATATACTTTTTGGAGAAAAATAGAGTAACAAATAGAATAGGGTTGGAGATGAAACACTATTTACCCTATTTTTTATTCCATTTTTTAAGGAAAAAATAGAAATAGGTTGGAGATGGTCCAATGAATAACGACGTTTGTGATATTCTAAAGTCACAGATTAAGTTAATGAGATGATAACATAGTTTTCCTTTTCTTGTAAAAATAAGTCATTTAACATATTTTTTTTCACATTTAGTTCTTATTTTTTACACATATAATCACTAATGTTCTTTATTTATTTATTTTTTTCCAAATAAGTCATTTTTCATCCTACGTGGGACAATAACTAATAATGTATTCTCATACGTGACTCATCTGAATACTGAAATCATGTGTTACTTGTCCCAATGTTAGTAATAGCATTGTACGATTGATATTAGTAACTATGATAGTATAATAACAATTATATTTAATACCAATACAAATATAATTTAATAGCAATACCAACTACATTATATTAGCTGAAAAAAAATACATTAGCCATAATGATTAATTGTTGGAAATGATGTTAACATTTATAATTGTTGCTTATGCTATTAATAATAATAGTAGAGTCATTTTGGGTTACACATAAAGACATAAAACCTCATCTTGAATAGTTGCAACCCCATCTTTAAAATTTACGATAACTTTAAAAAGAATTAAAAA